AGCCAGCCTTTGAGAAACCGGTGAGAGAGCTTGATTTTATCCTTCTTTTCTTGCTCAAGAGCAAGATTGGAACCCAGAAATTCTCCCCCCCTGCTGGAAAATCCGGATCTGCTGCTGCTCTGCTCCTCACCGCCGGCTGTTCCTTACTTGTGAGTGCGAATTGCCTTGATTTTCTGGTAAGAAACAGCCATTAAATCCTCTTTTCTCACTTGAATTGCCTTGGGTTTGCCTTAATTGCTCTTATTCCCTTCAATTTTTGCAAGCCCCGTGAATTGCTCCTGCACTTGCCGCCGGCTTCTCCCCCAGCCAAGCTCGGTTTTGCTTGCTAAATTCCGGTATGGACAGCCATTTAAGCCTAAAATTAGCCATCTAATCGCTGCCCTATTGTTGTCCGAATTTGGCTGAAAATTAGGGGATAATTCCGGTAGCTTTAGGATGAGATTTAAGCACTAATTCAAGTGGGTTTTTGTTTAATTTAAGTGTAAATTGCTTGAGTTGATTGCTGTGATTTTTGGAGAGAAAAACCCGTTAATTAGCTAGTGTTTTGGCCAATTTTTGGAAGTTGGAGTACTGTTCACGGGTACTGTTCACGGATACTGTTCATAGATTACTGTTCACACACCGAGGGTCAACAATTAACAGGGATTTAAATGATTAGTTTGTGATATAAGAACGAATTTGGAGATATTTGATCATGTGAAGATTGATAGGAATAGCATCGAGATTAGGGGTGATCCTAATGATGATTTTAGTTTGAATTTGTGATAGTACGGTATTAATTTTGAGGTATTTTGATTAGGTTTCTGATCGTTTTGTCAGTTTAGCACTGGGATTGAGTGCTCAGTTTTATACGAGTGAGGTAAGTAAATTTATGGTAATGCTCACACAGTTTTTAAAAGCATGTTTTGATTTGTTTTTGAAATGGTGGTGGGACTAAATCCGTTTTACACGAGTATGACTAATTTGAAGTGAAATTTTTATGCTTTTCATTAAATTGAGCATGCCTACTTGAAAGTTTAATTGATTGTCCTGATGATTTGAAAGTGAGTGTGAATTATGATTTTTCGGTTAACTTCAGCCTGTTTTGTCTCCAATATGGTCATGTTATTCGTGTGCCCACTAGTGGGAGGTTTATAAACGCTAGCACATGTTGACATGTTACTGATAGAACCGGTTCGTTTCTGTTATCTTGCTAGTGAGATTATACACTAGTAAATCGTGTGCCTGTCAGTGGGAGGTTTATAACACTGGCTGTGACCTATAGAGGAGATGTCTATTTCGTTCCTGTACTATAATCGTTTTTCGTGCTTACACTGGTTGGCATGCTATAAGTTTTATTATGGGCCATCCATATTTACTTACTGAGTTTATCTCATAGTTTTTCGTTGTCCACCATTTCAGGAAATGAAACCGAGGACAAGGAAACCACGAGAAGTGACGAGTTAAAAGGCTAGCCATCTTGTAAAGTGAACTTAGATTTTAGAAATAAATCATGATCTTGTAAACTCGAGTGTATTTGGAGATTTTATGATATCAAAGCAGATTTTAATATTTTATTTTTAGATTTTTGGTGGTATCAGATTGTGAATTGGATAAGTTCCGAACCTTGTGCAGTTGTGGGATCCTCTCACGAGTGCACGGTGTCGATTACGCCTCGAATTTGGGTTTTAGGTCGTGACAACTATAGTAGCTTGTAGACCAAATGTTTGCTTGCCAAATATACTTGATAGAAATGGTAGACTTTTGAAATGTCTTACTTGAAGTTTAAAAAATAAAAAAATACATTGTATGTATTAACATTATGATAAGTAATTTTTTATGCTTGATAAAGTAAAGAAAGGGATTCTTAATTTAGAATGAGGAATGACCTTTTAAATGAGGACCTTATAATTTGGAAGTTAATTTGTGAGGAATTATTGGTAACTTAAGTGCTGGTGTAAAAAAAAAAGAAAAAGAAAAAAAGAAAACCTTGGTGCAAAAGAAAATTAGTTAAGTTCAATATCAGATTGATCTTGATTATACTAGAAATAATTATCTTAATATTAAAATTAATTTACTTTATGCACAAAATATGTGCAAGTAAATGAATCTTGAGGGGCTATTTGTAGATATGAAAAAAATTGGTTAATAGTGGATATATCCTCAAAAAATAAACTAGAATATTATCTTACCTAAATCATTTGATTTGATTTTGTGAGATTTCTAAAATGCCCTTAAATTGAAAGGGCATTTTCAAGTCATTTTGCACGCCACATTTGCCTATAAATAGGCCATACCTTTGGTAAAAAAGAGGGAGGAGAAGGAGAGGAATTGCTAAAGCTTCAACACTCAACAATTCTCAATGTTTTAATTCTTAGTTAAGGAAAGTCCTAACTCCTTGAAAAAGATAAGTTCCAAATCCATACTAAGTACAAATTTCAAAGTCAAGTCTTGAATCCCTTCCAAAGACTTAAAAGGACAAGATCAAATTAAGGCCCTAACCCTTCCAAATCTAGCTAATAATTAGAGGATTGTGTTGTCCCAAAATGTGTCACTAATTAAAGTTCAAGCACCTAAACTACAGTACCTTAATAAAAAATTATTTCCCATTTCTTTTAAATTTATTATAATTTTTATTTATAATTTTGCAAATCAAATATTGCAATGATCCAGCCCACTATTGATATTGTCCACTTTATCCCATTAGGCCTTACAGTTCTAAAATGCATCAATAGAAACTAATGGTACATTACTTTTCAGGACTCAATGTCCCCATTGAGGTTCGCCTTAATATTGTGCTAGATGTTATGTGAAGTGGCTTTGATACCATTTGTGACAATCTAGCCTATTATTGATACTATCTACTTTGACCCATCAGGTCTCATGATTTTAAAATGTATTAATAGAGGGTTAATGTATGTATGACCAGCATCTCTCTTATGTTTCTTCAATGTGGGATTTACCCATGAGTGTCATAAATACACATTTTATTTTGTAGATTTTGATTGCACATGGCATAATAGAAAAGGAAAAAAAAAAAAAAGGCTATTTGTGTTCAATTAGAAGAATAATTTCTAAATTCACAATTGTTATTGGAACATACTTTGCAATAGAAAGGCATGTAGGGGTGTAACACCCCAAAATTTGGGGATATTTTAGCATTAAATAAGGGACTTATTTGAGGGAAAATATTATTGAGGGGCTTAATGGTCAAATTTTCAAAAGTTGGGGGACCTAAAAAGAAAGGAAATTAGGATAAGGATGGCTGAGTTGTTCTTTCTTTTTCTTCTTCCTTATCCGCGAGAAAGTCTGCTGTATCACTGGGATACAACAGACGTGGTATCCCAACCCAATGGGAAAACACCACATCAGTTGTTTTTTGGGTTTGGGATTGATGAAGTCTGAAAAATTGTTGATGTGGTGTTTTCCCATTGGGTTGGGATACCACGTTGCTGTATCCCGGGGATACAGCAAACTTTCTCCTTATCCGCACATCTGCTCTTCTTCTTCTCCCCTGCACCCAACAAGCCCCCCCTAGCCACTGACGCACTCCTCTTGAGAAATTCGGCAAAAAGGCTTGAATTTCTCTTCCTTTCTTGTTAAGTCACAAGATTTGGGGCTTAGAATTCTCTCTCTCAACCCAGAAAATCCCGGAGCTGCTCTGCTCTTCTCCCTTGTCCGCCAGCTGCTATGTGGGTTTGAATTTCTCGGCATTTTTCGGTCCGTGAGTTTCCCTGCAGATGCCGCCGGCTTCTTCTCCCTGCCAAGTCCGGTTCTTGCTGGAAAATTCTGGTATGATGGCCACTTCTTTAAGCCCTAAATTAGCCATTTAATTGCTGCCTTGTGTGTGTCTGAATTGTGCCGGAAATGGGGAGGAATTCCGGTAGCATTAGTAGCATTTCAAATGTGTTTTAAGCTTGATTAAGTAGAATTTAGCTTGAATTAGCTGCTGTGATGTTTTGTGTGAAAATCTCGTGTGTGTGAATTGTGATTTGCCAAAGTTATGCTCTCTCTGTGCTGCCGTGAGAAATGGGAAAAATTTGGTAGATTAAGTTATGTTTTCAAGCTTGGTTTAAATGTAAATTAGCTTGAATTGGGTTGTGGTGATTTTGGAGAAAAATCCCGTGAATTAGCTAGTGTTTTGGCCCCTTTTTTTTGGAAGTTAAGAGTTGCTGTTCACGTCGTGGTACTGTTCACCGAACACTGTTCATGGCACTGTTCACACCCCGAGAGTCAACAATTAACGGGGATTTAAATATTTAGCTTGTGATATAAGAACGAATTTGGAGATATTTGATCATGTGGAGATTGATAGGAATAGCATCGGGATTAAGAGTGATCTTAATGATGATTTCAATTTGAATTTGTGGTGATACGATAATTAATTGTGGATATTTTGATTAGGTTCTTGATCGTTCTGTCAGTTTAGTACATGAATTGAGTGCTCGGTTTTGCGGAGTGAGGTAAGTAATTTATGGTAATGCCCATACTATTTTAAAAGCATGTTTTGATTTGTTTTTGAAGTGGTGGCGGGACTAAACCCGTTTTACACAAGTATGACCGATTTGAAGTGAAATGTTTTATGATTTTCATTAAATTGAGCATGCCTACTTGAAATTTAAGTGACTGTCCTGATGATCTGAAAGTGATTGTGAATTGTGATTTTCCTGTTAACTTCTGCCTGTTTTGTCTCCGATGTGGTCATGTTATTAGTGACCCTGCTAGTGGGGGAGGTTATAAACGCTAGCACATGTCGACATGTTATTGATAGAACCGGTTCGTTGAGTGACCCTGCTTGTGGGGATTATACACCAGCAAACAGTGCGCATGCCAGTGGGTGTTAGACGCTGACCGTGACCTATAGAGGAGACGTCTATTTCGTTCTCGTATTGTATCCGTTTTTCGTGATTGCACATGTTGGCATGCTATAAGTTTAATAATGGGCACCCCATATTTACTTACTGAATTTATCTCATAGTTTTCCTTGTCCACCATTTCAGGAATCGAAACCGAGGACGGGGAAACCACGGGAAGTAACGAGTTAAAAAGCTAGCCATTTCGAGATTGATATAGATTTTAGAAAGAAATCATGATCTTGTAAACCAGAGTGTATTTGGAGATTTTATGATATCAGAGTAAATTTTAAAGATTTGATCTTCAGATTTGGTGGTATCAAATTGTGAATTGGATAAGTTCCGAGCCTTGTACATTTGTGGGACCCGTCTCACGAGTGCACGGTATCTGTCGCGTCCCCGGATTTGGGTTTTGGAGCGTAACAGGGTTTTGGAGCGTGACAAAGGGAAAGCTATTACTCCTTCTATTCATTTTTAGTAGATTTAATTTGATTTTTTAATTTTTTGAACATAAATTTAAATGAAAATTTTATAACTTTATATGAACAAGAATTGAAAAGTTTTTCTTCTTGTATAAGTTCTTGTTGAGCACTTTTATTTGATAAAAAAATTTCTAACTATCATTTATATAATATGTTAATTTTCATTTAAAATTCTTGTCTGCAAAGTTAAAAAATTAAATTAAAATTATTAAAAAAAATGGGGAATTATTTGTTTTTCTTTCTAAATAAGAAATTATTAGCCTTGGAGAGTTGCTCAACTAATTAATAAAATAAATTTTCAATTTGAATATTACAAATTAGAATCTTGAGTTGAGTGCGGGAAGGATTTGGAAAAATGCAAAGGTTATATTTTTTATATAATCAATTATTATATTTACCCAAAAAAAAAGAGAAATTAATAAACAATAGATTGGTTTCAATACAATGAGAAAAATGTCAATTTAATTATCGACAATGATGTAATTACAATGTCATATAAATTTATAAATTTATAATCATAATGTATTACTAAATGTATAAATGTATATAATATCATAAATGTCTTTAAATATAAAGAGTCTGTCATACTTGACATGTCATAGTTGGAAAATTATAATACCTATATTATTTTCAATTTAACTAGCATCAAAAAAGAAAAATGTCAACTTAATCTTCAAAGCTAAATTAATTAAACATATCAATTTACAGGCAACAAACAAGTTCCCTTGACGTACATATCTATAGCATAAGTTTATCATTTTTCATTGACATTACAACAAGATGTATCTATATACATGAATGCCACACGCTGGCACCGGAGATCTACTGTTGAGGCTTGCAGATTATAACATGCGATGAAGTTCATTTATGCTGCTTCAGCAAATCCAACCGTCAAGTCCCCATAGTTGAATACCGTGTGATACTCACCCATGAACACATCTCCTAGGATCCTGCTTCATGAAAAGTTAAATGGTGACTTCCTCATTGCATTAGTTGCAATGTGTGGTATACTACATATGTTAACAAAAAGAACACAATATACTAATATGATTCATGTTTTATATATCATGCCCTTCGTGCATGCATGGTTTTTGACGTGACAGGAAAATCCATATCCCTGTATACCATGCTCAAAGCAATATGACCATACTCATTGCCATAGCCTGGGCTTTTTACCCGGTGTAGTCAGTTTGATGCATCTTACGTGCATTGTCCATTGTCAACAAAAAGAAAAAAGAAACAGTATAAGCCACAATTGAAGAATAAATACCAGAGAGGTCCACGGGGAGGTGGCACATCCAATGCAGTAAATCCACTGATGCATTGAGCTGCAACTCCTTCTCCTACTTTCAAAACGTACTGATACACAAAACAATCAAGTATAACAGTAGTTGCGAAGAGGAAGACAATATTAGCATGATGAGAAAACTAATAAAAATATTAACATCAAAACCTTAAACAACACCATTTGCACACTACTTATAACTTTGCAAAAGTTGGCATCTATATTCAACTCCAGGTTCTAGTCACAAATGCACTTATTCCTCCCTAACTCTTCTTTTCTTAAGAAGTTGCTATCTGTGTCAATTCAGTTCTAATGCCTTGCTCTGGAATTTTTAAATGTTGCTGCTTTTATTAATCACCCAATTCATCAGATGACTCGGTTTTATTCCTATCATGGTTTAGCAACTATTACAACTTAGGGAACTAACAAGATTGCTTCAAGCATAAACAATTTTCTCAGCTTATGGCAATAACAATGTGATAGGAAACTCAATGCTGCTTTAAAGGGATGAATTCTTTCCACTAGTCAACTCTATAAAGTGTATCATGATAAATCCTTTTACTGCCAAAACTCCAATACTCCTGTACAATATATGTATATATATAGAGAGAGAGGAGGGATCCATTTACATACAAGTCTTACATACCAGATTTACACAAAAATCTCAACCCATCATCTCTTCACTTTCAATGGTTGAGATTTTGTGAGTGTGGTGTGTAAAACTTGTGTAAGTGGATCCCTACTCTCATATATATATATATATATATATATATTCATACATGTCAACCACATGAACTTATGCACAAAACAAATATTCCATTCAGTTCATCAATAGGTCCAAGAACAAATGGGTGCAACAGGACAAATATGAATGAGCATGTTAGGAGTGTTATATGAAAACTGAATTAAGAGTGGCTTCAGTTATAATGCAAGAAAAAAATAGAAGAAGAAGAAGAAGAAGAAGAAGAAGATGCAGCTGCTTACAAGATTTAGTTATATAAGATCCCTAAGAAAAGGGAAAACTACATACCTGTTCTGGCACAAGGTCATATACTTTACCACCTATGGTAAATGAAACACTAGGCATTGAGGAAAGACTGCCACACTCAACCATTGATTCTCCATTCGGATTGGGTAGTCTATCACAGAGCTAGATTTGCAATTGAGGGCATCAGTGTACTGCAAATTATTTTCCCAGACAATGGAAAGGAGTTTAAGTTACCTGATTCACATAATCCAAGATCTGTTCCTCTGTCTGATTTTTCCTTAGTTGATTTTGCATCCATACCACTGCCATCTCACAAGCAGTGCATGCAGCATCATGGAGACCATCAGATGCCTTGCCTGGGCTCTCACCAACCACAGTCTCAATTCCTGGACTGTAAAGATATCATCATTGATAAAATTAACAACCCAAAATATTATAGATCCCTTGCAAACATGCTCACATGTAAGAATACAAGAGGGGAGGCAAATCTCACCTGACACCTTGAGTCCCATCAAAATAACAGAAACCAATTTGAGAGCAGATCTTTTGCGGTTGTGTCTGCAAGAAGCCAATGGCAAAATAATACAATTGATTCATTTGACCAATAACTTATATCATAGTCATGCCAAAGTTAGGTCCCTTAACTTCATTTTTAGTACCTTTGAGAAGTGTAGTATACTCTTAATCTTAATGAAAGTCCTTTTTGTAAGTGAGATGAGCCTCAAAATAGCAATTATATGTAGACATGGATGAAGATTCCAATGCGTTAAGAAAAGAAAATATATTTTTTTCTTTTTTTTTTTCACCACCTCAAAAAATAAGAGAATTAATGCGAGACCAAATTGAAAAAGAAAATCCGATAGAAATTTACCTCAGCTATCAACAGTTCCAGTATAGTTTTTCCATATTGTGCAACCACTGTCTTGCATTCTTGGCTTACAATGCCGGAGGCTCCAATGGCATGATTAATTTGAGTAATTATAGTCTGAAAATGTCAAAATTATAATATGAAGTATGAGTTGCTATTCTACATCAGGGCATAATAACAAAATCTCAATGATATTAAGGTAGAAGCTATATGAAGATTCAGTTTCATACAGAAGAAAAAGGGATTTCATGGCAATGATATTTTTAATATTAAAATTTGGCAGGATAATCTTGCTTAAATCATGAAGAGATAAAATATTTGCAACTGTTTCTTTTTTTAATAGGATTTACTTACATCTAAATGCCATGGACTTTCGAAAGAAAAGTAGGATGGAAATGAGGGGTATGAGGAGGCAACTTGCCACTAATTTATGCAGTACAGGGCAGGCAAAAACCCTAACATATCACAAGTTAAAACTCCATACCCCTTTTCCCTTCTGCTTTGTGAATTGTTAATAGGCATACTGAAGAGGAAAGGAGAAAGGATAAAGAAATCTGGCTAAACCCCAATCATGTAAAAATCATACTCCAGATAATACGGATGTGTCAGTACAATGTAATTAGTTTAGAAGCCAGATAAACTCAGAGCCAAGCAAAAGTTTTCTGGGGATGATAATAACACTGCCTCTGAATATCAGAGAATAGTGAAAGCATTACAAGTAACAGTTCGAGATGCAGGAGCTACCCACATCCAATTAAAGGCGAGAAAAACCTATAGAGTTTTTATATTCATTTATATTAGAAGAAATAGCAAATAGAACAATTTCTATATTACAGCCAAATATGAAAATATGTGGCTACTCTAGGCATAACTATTGAAAAGGAGAAAAGGACAGGAAAATGAAATTGAATTTGTTTTGAAGTTTAAAAGGTTTGCTAAGTACAGATTTGGCAAGGCCGCTTCACAATTAATTACAAGTCTACATAAGGAGAAATGAGAACCAGGGCAACCAGCAATACATACCGTTGGGCCAGCCAACAAAGAAGTTCCTGAATCAGCAATTGCTGAACAACCACTGGAACAAAACCCTATAAAAAGGTATACTCATCTCTCAGTGGTATAGCCAGCTAAATAAACAAAAATGAAAAGCAATTATTTTATCCACATGATAAGGACGGTGAAAGAACTTTTGTTCGGTTACCAGTTGTTTCACCATCAATTAGGACATCACCCATATCAAACTGCCAGAATGAGAAATGGACAACCAAATTAGAAAATATGAACTGAAAATACCATATTAGGTAGTAATTGTAGAAATCGTTTACATAAACCTAAGATGTCCAACCTGCCAATACCCTTTCTGAGTAACAGGGACATATGTGTGCTCCCCCTTATAATGATTGGGATCAATACCTCCAAATACAAGTTCTCCTCCTTCTTCTCCTTCAACATTACGGTTTAACCAAAACGAAAACACTGGTTCCTTAACAAGGCCTTGATTAACCACATTGTACCTATGAGTAAGGCATTCATATGGATTAGGAAAATAGATGACAAATCAGACAGAAGAAGAAAAAACAACAAACTCCAATTAAAATGTTCTTTTAATACAGATTCACATCTTCAATTGAGCAATCCCAAGTTGATGCTGTGAAAGTTATAATATAATTGGTTACCAGACAGGCACAGCATCTGCAACAGAGATCTCTTGAAATCCAAGCCCAAGTATGCCATCAAATTTGGCAGCCAAGAATGTAATGCCAGGCTCTCTTGTTGCCTCAATAAAATCCTAAGTCATAATCACCAACAAAAGTCATAGGAAACAAGTTTCAGACAGAAGTATAAATCAGAGACCACAAAATGCAAAGTTCCACACAAAACTAACCTGATTCTTAACAAGCAGATCACCAACTTTGACATTGTCCTGACTAAAGAAACCTGAAATTGATCCAGTTCCATAATGGATTGCTGCAGAGGTCCCTGCATCGGAAATGAAAACACAACTATCTCAACATGATTAAGGACGTTCAGGAATTGGTTTGAAAACCATGTGCCAGTTGCTGCTTTCACCATGAAAACACAACTATCTCAACATGATTAAGAAGGTTCAGGAATTGGTTTGAAAACCATGCGCCAGTTGCTGTTTTCACCTTATTTTATGTCTAGCCACCTAAGAGCAATATGAGAATCAAAATACTTCAAACTTTGCAACTTGTCAGTAGACTTGCAAGTAACCTTCTTCAGAGTTCTTGTAGTTGTAATGCATAAAACAAGCATGTTATAGACAATGTGTATAAGCGCTGTACCATTTTTTTGGTAGGTAGAGGACTGGCTGGACTTGTATTTGGAGTGAAAATAACAAGCAACCTGTTCCCAAATGAAAAACCACATATTTATCAACTGCTTGGCAGAAAATTTACTGAACTGGAAAAACAAGAAAGAAAAAAGGTGCTCAGAGTTGTGGGAATGGGAAGGAATAAAAGCAAAAGAAACTTACAGAGAAATAACACTTGGCTGATGGCACCCAAAGATTGGAACTTCCTGTGTCAAATATAACAGTGAAAGTCTGTGAAGGAGTGCCAACGCCAACCTCTCCAAAATACTGAGCATCCATGTAGTTCTTCAGTTCAACAATCGCGTCCTCAGTATCCCCAAGATTACCATGGAGATAATACTTCCTCATGGGAGCTCTCAAAGTCCTCCCTTCCCTAGAGTCAAATCTATTGATTTGATCTAATTTCTTCTTTTTCAGTCCAATTCTCACCAACCCATCATTGGGAACGCAAAAGACCGCCGGAGACAAAAGCAGCACAAGGAGAAGAGCAACCTTAATGTCTCTGTAGTCAGGACCCAACTTCCTCACTGTTCAACCCAAAATCAACATTTGCTTACAGATTACACTCTGAAAACAGTTAATTCTTAAGAATTTTTTTGTATCCAAAATTGAAGAAGGAAGGTTTTTAAATTTATCTTTTTTTCTAATTTACTTTCTCAGCAGCCAAATTGAAGTTGAAGACCGAACCCAGACTAAAAAATGACAGAAACAGAAAATACTTTAAAGGAGAACGGAAGCTGAACTACGTACCCGGGGTCAGCGCCATTGTTGAGTGGAAGATGAAGAGGGAAGGAAGAAGATGAAAATGGTAAAAGGAAGACGGGAGCCTGAAAGGATTGTCATGTTAAGTGGTTTTCGTGTGGGTATACCAGATCAACCACCGTTCTTAACTCAACTACCGGTTGTGCCCGGAAGTAGCAGTGAGTATACCGACCGGTCCTACGCGGGACCGTCCACAGCATCATATCTTCCACTTTATTTCCCTTCCTCGGCATTTCTTGCTCTAGTCATACACTTGCAAAGTTGCAACTTGCAAGAAACCTCTTCTCCGGAAGGACTGGGTCAATCCTATTTAAACTGCGCACCACATGTTATGGCATTAATGATTTTACTACCGCATCTCCTTTGTTCCATTAAGAGATTCATTTATAAGCATTGTAACATGTTATGGTTAGTGTTATGCTAAGTGCTAAAGGTGTAAATACAATAATTGATAATTAATTATTTATATTATTTGTATTTATTGTAAATATTTTATATTTTAAAATATACTATTTATAATTATTGTTCTTAGAACATTTTTCTTCATTTCTATTTCATTTTATTGTTGTGCCTTTATTACAAAATTAATAAAAATAATAATTAATGACTTATCAAGAAAATATAACTAAAATAGGCATAAAAAACTTATTTACTTAAAAATACTTTATGCATTACAAATAGTAGATCTATTGATGTTGTAGAAGCATAAATAGCATATCATCCCCAAGATACTATAATTTAATAATAATATCCTATGAATCTATACTATTCATAGAATCACATAACTTAAAACACTACTTTTTTGCTCAAGAATATTTAGAATAAATAGTAACATAAGAAATTAGAAGAGAATGAAGAAACTCACTTTTGAAAAAAAAAAATAGCATGTCCTATTTGTAGCACTTTTAGTCTTATAACTCCCACTTATAGATTAATTATAAGAATAAATTGGGCAATTTTCATGAAATAATATGCCTTTATGTAGGGTAATTAGTCTATAACAGTTAATTTGGTCAAGTGCTTAATAGGATAACAAATTTAATTTATAAAATAAATTAATCTCCAACAATTCTCCCACCATTTTAATAAAAAATAAACATATTCTTTTGGATAAAGATAGATTATTATGCATAATAAAGATAACTAAGCTTTGAATTTTCACTTAGTGAGTTAACAATTCCTATTTCAAAGTCAATAGTAAGCAAAGTATTGAACTATGACTAATTAACTAAGTTTTGAACTATGACTAATGAAAGGATACAAAAATCACATCACACACATAATGATTTGAGTACTAACCTTTTCACATAGCTAGCACATTAGGGCCTTGTAAATGATCCTATTTTCATTGGTGATCTAGAAAAATTGCCCATCCAATTTTTATAAAAGTGATCTCACTTCGACAACCACATAGATTAAATTTGTTAAGAGTGCTCCCATAACTAAGACACCTCACTCAATGATCTAAAAATTTCATTAAAAGTAGATAACCCTTAATTCATTATGGGATAGATGCATCCTCATCATAGGAATAAGACCAAAAAATTTTCTGTAAAAGATTGATGCATCTTTCAATGATTTCTCTACTAATTCATTTTCTCATTCAAAACCCAATTCTAAAATTTTAGCTTGGATATCCTCATAGGAAGTTTTGCATTATTGGGCTTGAATCCCATTCTCCTTGATGAGTACTAGACCTTGGACCATGGACATAGTTTTTTCCTCTAATTTTTTGCCTTTACTAAAAGCCTAGTTATGTTATAGTGGGTAACAAAGAGATTAACTTGTTCTTTTTCGCATTTTTCCTTTTATCACATTAGCTCCCATATCTTCTAACTCATAAAAATCATATTTAATTTCTCAAAATTCACAATTTATGGTATCACAATTTCTAATTTCAAATCCAAGTAGTAAACCACCGTTTTCTTGCTTCATTGCATGTAAAGACATGTATTTTAAAATTTTTTTAACTTAGGCACATTGCACTTTATTGTATAATAGGAATATCTCATCTTGACATACACCTTGTATTCAAATAAAGTGCCTTATAATTCACTCTTACAGCACTATACCAAAATTGTATAAGAGGAGTGAAAATCATATTTATTTAGTTAAGTACCATTATACCTTATTTTATAATAGGAATGCTATAGAAAATTTCAATTAGGCACAATTGGTTTCATCACCAATAATAACGCATAAAGATATCACAATCCCTCACATTGAGAGCATCTCAAATTTGCGATTTTCATATTTCTCAAATAATTGAGTTTATAGACAAACTATTTTTCTCATACGATTATAAGAGCCTATTAGCCCACCTCAAATATTATCACCATAAATGGCTCCTTAGTCATGAAATCTTGAAATTATCTTATGTTTCCAAAATATACCAACCCAAATTTCATGTCCATTTTTTTTTTCTAAATTATTACATGGACCAATTGGATAACTCTTTTCTTTAGTCTTTTCACTTGGATTCTAAAGTTTTTCATAAACTTATTTCAACAAAAAACTCAATAGTATGGTTAATTAAATGCACATATATATTCACCATTTTTTTTACCATTTCAAATAATAATCATAAATTGGCCATGTACAAATATAGCAGTGATCATATATCAACAGTTACTAACCATTAAACTATAAAATTACTACATATACTTGATTATGAAAACCACATGTATTTCTAGCCATTGAAAATGAAATATAATTGCATTACGAGCTAACGACAAGTTTATCTTATAAACAATACATTCACACTAACTATTTCAATTTGTGACATTTCAAGTGTTGAAAAGCTTTGCATTTTTCAACAATAACTAAGAAATTAACCAATCCCAACAGCTAACCACATAAAACTTTTAAATTGCTTGACATGCTTGTATGCATTTCTAAACAGGAAAAAAAAAAAAAAAGA